ATAGTGAGCATCAAAACTGAGCAGCCCAGCTTTCTATCCAGCTTTGAAGATCTTGATTCAGGTCTGTACTCAAGCACAACACAAGTCTCTGGCCGTTTACAGCCCATTTTGCAGTTAAGCCCCCCATCATAGAAAGGGTAATGGGCTGGCCAAGCTGGGCACAGAGAAACTCACCTATTGAGGGGTAAATAATGGTATTCAGCCAAAGCTTCAAGCTCAGAAAGGATGGCTAAGAGCAAATAACAAGAGCAGACACCAGAAAATAAGGTGGCTCCATCCAGTCTTTCCTTCCACACCTTCCCAATGTGTTTTTCATTAAATCTCAGATTATTTTAAAGCCAAAACATCACAGTTCCATGGGAGTAGTTTCTTAAAAGCAATATCTATTTCTACTCCTCTTCAGACCAAACAAAACCATTGCATCGAGTAACCCCAGAAGCTCATCATAACCACTACTCTATTCCTGCATGCTGGTTACCAACAGTACGTGCACACCCACAGCCCCAAGTGGCACTCATTGTCATATCATGGCCCTGGTTTTACTGTGATGTGCCTTGCCAAGAAGGGAAAATTACACATTGATGCTTTACCTGACTGAGGTCCTTAGAAATAAGAAACACCATAGGTAGTTTGGGGACTTCTCACATAAGAAAGCAGGTGTTGAACGGACCAGCCAGGCTGGCAGATGAAGGCAGGATGATAAAAGGCTGCCAGGCCAGCTCGAGGCAGCATGTCACTTGTTTATCAAGTTCCTTCCCTTCCAGCTATGCTCCTGACTCTGGAACAGAATCTTTGCCACACTCATCCCTGAGTTTCAACATCCTCCTCAAATCCAGGCCAGCACCTTTGTTCTCCAGCCAAGGAACTCCAAAAATCAAAGAGCACAAGAGACTGATACCACAAGACCCCGTGTATAGCTCAAATCATTCCACATCCACTTTCAGGTGCAGAGCAGATTGGCTACAAGCTCTCCTCAAGGACACATTGGCACCTGGGGACCAAAAATCAGGTTGGCTTAGCTGTAGTCCCACAGGCATGAGAAGGTAAGTCTGGAAGAGCCTCATCAGAGCAGGAAACTGGCTGGATAACTGCATAGGCACCATGGAAAAACCTGGACCTCTGGGTTCTTTAATGCTTTGGCTTACTAGCACTTACAGCATGGGATGGAAGCCTGCAAACACAGCATCAGCTGAAGGGCCCAAGAAATCCAGCATTCCAGGAAGGAGAAGCAGCACCATAAGAAGCTTCTGCCAGATCCAAACACCTCCCAACCCCCAGGTTTTCACACACAGACACTGCAGGTTTACACAGGGCATCTTTCTCCTTCACACTTCAGTTCCATGTAAGTCACATTGCTTGAGTCTCTGCTCATCACACCAGTCCCCACAGAAGCAGAAACCAGAACGCCAAGGCCCTGGAGCCCTCTGAGCCACAAGGAAGACACATCTAACACAGCAAAACATCTCCTCACAGCTCTTAAAGGCAGCAAAGAAACCCACACAGCCACTGTTAACAGCGTTGTGCCCACACCACATACCCATTGCTTCCAACACAGCCTCCTACCTCCAGAGCTCCTCAATGCAACCTCTGCAGATGCCCTCAACAGCCTCTTACAGCTCCTTTGACACTGCAGCCATCCAGAAAAGAGCCTTTCATGGCCTGAACCAAGCTTATAAAGACTCGGGACACTCTTCCTCCCTGCAGCAAGTTCACAGCTTAATTTCAACTTAATCAATCACAGTTGGTTCCCTTTGCTCCTGCTGTGGAACGGCTTGCACCTGTGCAAAGCCCAGGGTCTACAGCATGACGGGAAGCCCCATTGCCAAAGCAGGCAGCAAGAGGCTGGAGATATGTCAAGTCCTGCTCAAGGGTGGGATGGTATTTGAGGGGCATTGTTCAAGTGATGCACTAGGAATAAAGAGCAGCCTTCAAAGCTCCTTGGTGTCTGAGCTTAGAGAGCATCTCCCCCCTCTATTTCTGTAGGAAAAGCAGAGTTTAGCCCCAGAATGGGTGTTGTTTCTATTGCAGCTCGTTTCAGTGCAAGAGGATATTGGTGCATGGCACCCAAAGCCACGGTCCCTGCAATGAAAGCAGGTTGGAAAACATCAACCCCTATCGCTATGTCCTCAGGGCATGGGTACGAGGGTGCTCACTCAGCCCCAGAGTACACGGTCAAACCAGACCTTGGCTGTTATTTCTCCATCAGTTACTCACATTAACACCTAACACTGATGGAAATACTTTCTGAAGGGAAACCTCTGTGCACTTGGAGTGGTCTCACCCCCTGAATGCACCAGGGTGATGTGATTTAAGAGGAAGTTGAGAAAAGCAGCAATTGATTACCCGCAGAACAGGGTTATAATCCCATAAATAAATGATAAATTAGTGTGTCTCCTCCTAGCAAGGAGCTGGAGACCCAAAGCTCCTCTCAAAGGAGCTGAACAGAATAGCCATTATTCAAACTGATCGCAGCTACCCAAGTGGAAAGAGCAGCTGCGCCTTCACGTTCCCTGACGCTTTTCCTTGCACCTTACACCCTTCCCTACTGAAAATGAAGTGATTTGGACTTGAGATAACTCATTAAGGAAAGGCAGGGTGGCTGGTTTCCAGATTACCTAACCCCTGTCAATTCAGATCAGAACCTGACACCCAAAGAGTAAAATGGGGTTACTTTGATACATCTCAAATTAATCCTGTGAAATCACTGCCCTTGCGGTTGTGGCATTCCCCGGAGGTCTGTTCACACAGCTTCACCAAACAGGCCTCGGACCATCATCCTCCCTTCCCTACCCACCGCTCCTGGAAGCACTAGGAAATCCAAGGTTCTTCAGAAGCTTTTCATGCTGTCCTTCCCTGCCAAACAGCTCGGCCGCAGTCTGCACGCACACAATTCAGGGGCCTTAATGAGAGCGTTGGGCACAGACAATGGGCATTCCTCATCCCTCATCAGAGACAGTCAGAAAGTAGGACAGCACTTTCTTTGAAAGCTCTGCTAGACCTGGAAAGCCACTTCCCTCCAGGAATGCAGGGATAAGGTTCCCTCTGCACTGGTCCAGAAGATTCATCACTGACACATGTGTGTCTGCCACCAGTTCCTTAAGCGGGGCGAGCGTCTTTTCTTCTTTCCCTGGGAAGGCTTTCTTCCCCATTGTGAGACCACTGCACGTTAAAAGGCAATCAATATCATTCCCATTGTTTGCTCTGAAGTTTGATGCTTGTCTTCCTGCTTTTACATCCTTGTTCTCACATTTTAATGCCCCCCGGTTCCACCAAAGCAAGTTGATCTCTGTCGTGGAAAAGGGCAGCTTCTGGGGCGGAATAGATTTGCAATGAGGGAGAGGGCAGAAAAGAGAAATAAGGATGTAGCAGGACAATGTGCCCATTAAGAATAGCTTTGTGTGTAAAAGAGCAAAAAGTGTTAGACAAGTTGGAAGAATATGAATAAAACTATGAAACAAAATAGGAAAAGAACCATTTTGTGCTTGCACACAGCTGTAAATGTGTATAAGCGAGCACGTGGTGAGGTTAGCACATGGAAAAAGCCAAAAACAGGGAAGTAAAATAGCTTAGCACATCTGCGTATGTGAGGGAGGGCAACAGAGACAAAGCAAGGCCAAGCCTGTGCCATGCAAACTAGCCCACCAGTGCATCCCCAGGAGGGTGATGGCTCATTTTAAGAGCTCTCCTGCTCTCAGAGCGCAGCTCCACACACACCTGTAAAACCCTGGGAGGTTTCCTGCTAAAATGCCAGGCCTAACGCTGCTTCCCTCCCAACACTCAGCACCAGGGTTTGTGTTCAGAGGCCATTGAAACCACCGGGCACCGTCGTGCCGGAGTTGATGGCAGTCTTGAACACACACTCAGCTCCCTCCCTGCTGCAAGTGAGCAGGAGGAGGGTGGGAATGTGGGTTTCCCAGACAAGGCGCTGAAGAAGAAACACTTTCAGTTCCCCCCTTTTAATGCTGCTCCTTGCATCCTCTGCGCTTCTCATTGCCAGGCCCTTGGGGATGCTCCGCACAACCCCGCTCCCCTTCCAAGCCGTAGGGAGGCGCTTCCCGGGGGGGCAGCTGCTGCAGGGACCCCAAGAGCAGAGCCCTGCCCGTGCTGCCGGGCAGCTCCCACCAGGTGGCGCTCCAGGAGCGGCTTAAAGGCACCACCGGGAACGGGAGAGACCCCCTCCGCGGGGGACACCCCCAGCATCAAGGCACCGTCCTCTTCCTCCTCCTCCTCCTCTACCTGCTGGCAGCCGGCAAAGAGCATCCCTGTTCTGCCGTGAATTCATGATTCCCTCATTTCATTGTTTCGGGATTTCAAGGCGGCAGGAGGCAAGGGAGGAGGCCGGAGACTCCCCCTCCCGCATCGCTCTGCCCCCGCTCCGGGGTCAGCCGGGCAGAGCTGGAAAGCGCTCCCGCCCCTCTGGTCCCTCCTCCTGGAAGCATGTTGGAGTAGCGGGATGCAGAGCTGGGATGAGGTTGAGGGGAGGAGGGGGGAAGAGAAAGATGAAATTTAAGGGTGAAATTCGTGTTTTATCTCTCTTCCCCACCCTGCCCCCGGGTAAATGTTTAGCAGAGGGAACAACTCAGGAAGCCGGCTGGAAAAGCACCGGGGCGGCAGCGGAGTGGGGAATGTGGTCCAACACGCTCCCCTTTTCCTGGAGCCGAGATGGGCAGCGAAGGACCCGCAGAGCTGCCCTGGGAGTAGCGAGATAGCCCGGGTCTGCTCGTCGAGCTGCTATGTTCAGAGATGAACTTGCTCAGGACCCGCGATAGCCAAGATAATGCAAAGCTAACCGGGACACAGAGACCATATACACCAGTTAGAGCCTCCCGGCCCCAGCCTAAGCGCGGCTGGGCTCGGCCAGGCGGGACAGACCCCGACAAAGCCTAACCCGGAGTCGGGAAGGATTGTGAGCGGGTTCGGGGGCCGGGAAGCACCGTGCCCGATGTCTCACACTGCACACGTCTTGTGCAAAGTGTAAAGAATGCGCGCACAGCCTCATCTCTTTGCATTATCTTTATATAACGACACGTACATATACGCAGTTGAGCTATATAAATATTTGAAATACATAAAGCTGCTTAGCCCTTTATACACATTACGCACGGACAGAGCTCTAGCTAAATAAAGCCATGCGCAGCTACGGAGGAGTTTTGGGTTCTGCAGTGGTTTGTAAGGGGGAGAAATGCGCCTTCGCGAACGCAGCCGGTAGAGACGTGGGGGACCGGGTCTGCTTCGGGCCCGGGTCGGGGGCAGCTCACCCGCGGGCTCGGGCGGCCACTGCTACAGCTGGGTTTGGGGGGTTATTTTGTTCCTCTCGGTCATTGCTAAGAACGTTGGAATATTGGTGCAGTAAATAGAGTCCCTGCTGGCCCAAGCAGCAGCTTTTCCCTAAAGGAACCATTTCAGGGTGCAAACCAACATCCCCTTCTCTCAGACCGAAACAGCGGCGTTTTCGGAAGGGTCGTCGCTCGCTGCGCTCCCCCCCACCGTGTTTTCACCCTTCGTGGTTCACCCGGGAGCCCTCCCGGGACAGGTTATTCCATCGCTTCTGAACAGGTTCCTGTTGAGAAATCATATTCAAAAGAAGCCAAAAAGCCACAGGACCACCGCCGCCACCGTGGTGCGGCTCCCGGCTTAACCCCCCCCCACTAATGACTGACGGCTGGTGCCACTGAGACAAATAAATACATCGTAAGGAGGGCAATGGGTCGCGAGTCGTTTTGGCCCTAAGGTGAGATTTAGCAGTGACCGCCCATTAAAACAAGCTTTTCACTTTTCCTAGGGGCAGCCCTTACCCCCCACCCTCTCCAGCCAGAGGAGAGGGGGAGCCTCCTGACCCGGATTCTGTTTGTATTCAAGGTTTGGGGCTTTTTTATCTGCCCGTTTGTTTTTTCGCTCGGAGTCGGGGAAAATGGAAACCGGCTGAAATGAGACTCAGAAGAGCAGAAGAGCTAAAAAGCTCCCCCAAAAAATCTACGGGGAAGGCCATGAACGGACAGCAAAGGAAAGCTGGGGGAGGGGGAGGAATTAATTTTCCAGAAATCTGTGAAAAATAAATGTGAGAGCGCCTAGGAAATGTTTCCCGGCAGAATGGAAATAATCCTGCCACAAGATCCCGGTGTTTCCCATGGAACACGCAGCGCGGTGGTGGTGGGGGAGCGGGGACCCCCTTCGTCCCCACAGAGGAATCAGGGACGTTCCTCTGCGCTTTACAAGACAGCTTAGGGAAAATCCTTCCAGTTTCCTCTGTGACCTAAGGAGGGTTCCTTATCCCAGCGAGCCCTCAGACCAGCCGGTGGGATGCCCCAGCCCGGCCCCCCCCAGGCTCCTCAGCCGGCGTCTACCTTCCGCTCGTACCTTCAGAGGAAGGAGCAGGTCTGGAGCTGGGAAGCATCCCTGGCTGTTTCTGCCCAGCCAATTTCCTTGTTAACGTAATTTTTGTCTGCGGCGCTTTGGCGTCTTGCAAGGAAATAAAGCTTGAAAGGACTTGGGAGAGAAGGGCAGAGGGGGGCTGCCCTGGGAGGAGGTCGAGTCGGGATCCGCATAGCCCAGCCCGCTTGGTTTCCTTTTTTCAGTGCCTTCTATTAAGGGCTTTATTTAAAAGGAGTGAGGGGGAAGCTGAGTTTAGTGAGACCAACGTGAAATGCCGCAGGGATTATGGCCGCGGTTACCTGTGCTGGAGGTTGGACTCTGTTTTGGATGAGAGAGTTAAAAAAAAAGGGGGGTATTTTCTCCAGAATAATCAAATAATTTATAAATAATTTTTAAAATATGAAAAAAGAGAAAGCAAATAAATGGCAAAAAAAAATTTGCATTGGTAAAGGGAAAACCCAACGACGGTGTGCGCTGGGCGGCTGCGGGCTGAGCCCCGCAGAAACACCGGGAGAAGGGAAAGCAGTGTCCCCCCCACCCCGAGTCGGAGCGAGGAGCTGGAGCCAAGAGTTACAATAAATAACGCCTTGAACGGCCACTTCAAGCTAAGGGCTTCGTCTCGCCGTGTTTTTACACGCCTTAATTGTTCACTAATAAAGCGGGGTTTGGGGAGAAGCACGTGGGAAGTTTGAGGCTGGGAAAAGAGGAAAACGAAGAGAAGAAAACCCCCAAACCAACCCCATGCATCACCCCACACACACACTCCCCAAACACACACTTGGCTCCCTGGAGCCAGTGGCTCTTTCTCCCCGCTCGCAGTCGGAGGGGCTCAGGTGCTTGGATGGGGTACTGCGGGCAGCTCGGCTGGTCAGGCCGATAACACGCTGCTACCCGAGCTGGAATGTTTCCGCGTGGGGCTGTTTGTTCCCCTCTATGTGCCTGCTTAGCCTGTGGGTGGAGGTGAGGGCTCAGGGGTGCCCCCAGGAGCGGGGGTTCTGTGCTGTAGGTGCCGAAGGAGGGAGGTGTTTTTCCAGCCCCGTTTCCCCCCCTTCCCAAGCTCACCCCGGCCCCGCCGTGCCGGCGCCTCCAGCACGGATCCGCCCGGCCGGGTGCCCCCGCTGTCGTCGTCTTTACCCCCCCACCCCGTCCCGGGGCTGGGCGACAGGGACCGGGGAGGAGCGGGCTGTCCCCGCAGGGTGCGCGGCCGCTCGTCGCCGCCCCGTCAAGCACCAGCGCCTCAAGGCAATCGCCACATCAGACCATTCACCCTCCCGAGACAACAAACAGCCGATCCGCCCGTCAGTGTGTCCGTGCCTCAGCCAGGGCACTGCGTGTCCGTGTGCGGAGCAGCCCGCTCCGGTCACCGCTTCGCAGCGGGCTGCTCAAACGGGGGGGTACCCAAGACGCTGCGGGTTCACTTTAACCCCGCTCTTGTGAAGGCATTTGGTGGGGTGCACGGCCCGGGTCCCGCTGCCTACCTGGGCAGCTCAGAGCCCGCTCCCACCCGGGATGGGATGTGTGCTCCGGCAGACACACGGCTGCTAAATTTCAAGCAGCTCCTCCGATTTTTCCCCCCCCTTCTTTCTTTCCCTTCTTCCCTTCTCCTCATCCCCCCTTTCTGCCTTCCCAAAATCGTTTCCCGGTGCAATCCTGCAGCCCGGGGCGAGGGAGGAGGCTGGATGCTCCCAGCTTCCAAAACTTCTACGAAAAAAAACCCAATCGTTAAAGAAATCAACCTTTTATTATTCCCCCCCTTCCCCTGTGCGGAAGCTGGAGAGGTCCCTTTGATCTGCGAGGCCTGGCGCTCTGCGAGCCCGCACTCTGGCTGCGTGCGGGGAGGGGGCCCGGCCACAATGAGACACCCCCCCCCCTCGAGCTGGGACAAGGAATAGAAAGGGGAAGACAAAGGAAAAGGGGGGAGAAAAAAAGGGAGTCCAGGGTACGGGAGAGCGACCGAAAGGCTTCAATATTTCATATTCCTGGAAGCTGTCAAGGCCAAAACCAACAACCCGCCTCCCTCGGAGTGTTTGCAGAGGGCAGGAGCGTGTGAGGCGGCCGGGAGCATGGCGGGGGGGGGACGGGACGGGACACACCTCATAAGTTTTCACTCGTAATCGATCGATAATTAACTAATAGCGGAGCGTGGCCCTGCAGGACGGTGGCTGCGGACTGCACGGGCGGGCCCCTCGGGGGGCTCGGTATCGGTACTGGTATCAGTGTCGGCGGCCCCAGCCCCTGCGCTCCTCTCCGGCTTTCCCAGAGGCTTTGGACTCGGGGCTAAACCTCCCTTGCGTTAAAACCCAGCAAAGCCCGCAGCGAGCCCCACCGAGGGTCTGAGGTGTGTGTGGGGGGGGGGGACGGAACCGCTTCATCTTCCCACACACCCCCCCCATCCTCGAAGCTACCGATGGGCGCCCCAGGTCCGCTCCGCACTGCCCGGGTTGCCCGAGAGGTGGCGCCGGCGCCGCGCAGCCCCCCCGGAGGCCGGACACCCCCCCCCCCACCTCCAACCAGCGCCGGGTCGCCTGCATCAGCCATAAAACCATTGAGGATATCAAGACAGGCGCCAGGTGAGTAATAGACAGGATAATCCAGAGAGATTGCTCGCTGTTTACCTCCATCCACAAGCGCCACAAGAGTTACTCATTAACGTTACTATATACAAATAAGATACACAAGAGATAAAGCCATTTGCAAGTCAGAGTTACACCTGCGGTACACGGATTTCTTGCAAGGGCATGGGGAGGGGGAGGTCAGCTTTAGGCCCCGGGGGAGGGGGTTAAATCAATCAAGCTGCACCCTCAGCCTTTAAAAATATAATGATAAAGGGAAATAAATCGTAAACTCCGGGTTTGCGGCGCCCCGGGGCTGCGGAGCGGCTACTGGGCTCCGGGGAAGGCGACGAGAGAGGGGGGTGTTGGGGGGGGGGTGTGTGTTTGCTTTCCTCTGAACACCAGAAGAGAATTTCCTTGTCAACTGCAAATACCCCCCTTCCCCCCCCACCCCCCCCACCCCCCAACCACTCTCCCTGTGTAAGAGAGATTGGGGGGCGGGGAGAGAATGGGGGTTCCCCCATTACTCCTGAAGCCAAAGAATGGCAGCGAGGGGCTGGGTAGGGCTGTAACACTGGAAAGATGCCCCTACGCTACCCCTGAGGCCAGAGCTGAGAGAGGAGGAGGAGGCTGAAGGCGAAGCGAGGAGGGTTGTACAGCCCGGGGCCGGGGGGGGGCTGCTGCTCCGGTGGAAACCGGCTTGTGGGGTGCAGGCCGAAGGCTGGATGCCTTGGATCGGGAAGGGAGTTATTCTGCTAGACTCTATCCCTAAAACCCCACCTGGCCCAGAGCATCAGCTGCAGTGGCACTTAGTGGCACTTCCAGTAGCCATCAATATGGGCCACCCGCTCAGCCCAAGCTTTTCCCCCCCTGCAAGTACCGTGAGTTTAACATATTCACACCCCCACCAAGCTGAAATGGGAAGGGTCCCGTCCTTTCATGAAGGGGACTTGAGCTGGATTTGATGTGCAGGGGATGGGGGGGCTTGAAGACCTGTTAAAAATCGGAGTTTTCTCTCCATTTTCCCCCACCGAAGCTCTCTTTATCTCGCCGGTGCAGGAGCCAAGGGCCGAGTATCAAACAGGATACAGGCTGGAAGTACATCCTTATAATATTTATTACTGGCGGAGGATGAATCACTTTCCAATATACGGGCCACTAACTGTTGACGGGAGGCAGGGGGGAATCTCTTTAGCGGAGAGAAATATATATGTTGTGCTAAAGGATGTGCTCATGGGCTGGCAAAGATACAGGCAGGAGCTGCCAGGTCTCAGTTCTCTTCTCAGTGACCTCCCAGGCCACTGGTCCAGCCTGGATGCCTGCCCCCGTTCCAGCTATTTTCTACTTAATCTCAACATATCTCGCTCAAGGGCGAGAAGGGGCGAAACCAAGGGAGGAAAAAAAACAACAAACTCCTCGATTTCCAGGTGATAACTGACTGGAAAAGCCAATTCCTGTGCCCGGACGGGAGGGAAAACGAGCCCAGCAGCTCCTGAGCACTTTACCTGGAAACTTTGAAGGAGGGCTCTGCATTAAAATTTAACCGATCGATTCTCTAATTCTTCACTTTTGCGTTATTAATTTATGACAGATAAAAGCATAGCTGAGCCTTTCTCATTAACTTTTCAAACGCCACTTAATATTGTTCCATTAAAAGAGGTGACTGAGTAGCCGCTGGATCGACTTTAAAAGCGAGAGGGATGAGGACGAAAAAGGTACATTAAACAGCTTGCTTAAAACTCGTACTTTCCCACCAACAATTCAAACGACACCATCCTGACTGGTTCGTACTAGCTCCTTCCAGGAGAAATAGCTTAATATTGGGATGGGGGATGGAGGAGAAAGGCAGGCGAGCGATATATATCTTTCAACCCCTCCATCCTCCCAGGCACGTTGGGGAGGGTTGGGGTGAAGGCATTTCACAGTACGCCCAAGACATTTCAATAAAAATTTATTGAAACTTCAGTGACTTTTAAGGGGGGGGGGGGGGGAATACAGAAAAAAAATAGAAATAGCAAGAACTTCTCAACATTTATATAACACAAAATATACCTTCATTAGTTTTGGTTTTTCCTTTGAACCAGCTCTGAGCACCTGACTTTCAAGCCAAGAAAATATGCACTCACTCAAACAAAGACAACGATAAGCACAGTAGTAAAACTCCATCGTGGGGTTGGTTGGGGGTTTTGAGACACACCGAGGAAATGGGGTTGGGGGGGGAAATAATACAAAGTAAAGACACTCTCAGAATCTTCATCTTTTTCCTGTCTCTCAAGCCGCTGGAGAAGCCTGTTGTCGTGTGTATAACTTTCTGTTGATATCCTATACGGAAAGTAGCGCTTTGAACACTGAAGAAATCCAGGATTAAAAGCTACCGTGGCACATTGCCTTTCCTTTTAATCTTTCCTTCTTCATTTTTAAAGGTCTTTGATTAATTTTGCTTGTTTCTGCTTTGCCTTTTGCGTTCGGCTCCTTTACAAGAGGACGAGGTCAGGTTCGCTGGGGTGAACTCCGATTGAAAACGTGAGCCCTCAGAAACGGGGGGATTTCTCCTCTGGGTCGGGGTGTGTGTTTAAAGGAATTACGAACTTGAAATGAAAACGACTAAAAATAAAACCAGAAGAGGAACAAAAGAAGACGGCTGCAGTCGTATTTACAGAGATATGTACAGTGTCAATAAATTAAAGTTTAATTTCGAGTATTCATATTCCACGTATTTACAAGAGTTATCAAATAATTACATAAATACTTTGTTTTAATAATAGTGTCCGCTCTTTTCTTCTTCTCAGTATGTTTAAACCTTGTTATTGCATATACAATTAAAGAGGGAAAGCTGTGATAAACCTACAGTCACGCTAGAGGGTTGGAGATAAAATAAATTCACTTCTTTTTCTCTTTCCAACTACACTTCTTATTGTTGCTGCTACAGGGAGAATGGTTTAAGGTAGGTCTTATTTTTGTTGGTTTTTTTAATTATTATTATCAATAATATTTTTTTCCCTGGGATTTGAAACGAGCATTCAAAAAGAAACAAAACCCCACCGAAATAAAAAATAATACACCACCCCACCCCCCCACCCCCCCCCAAAAAAAAGCAGACTACTATGGAACATGCAAAACCAGCCACCGGCTGGCTCTCAGGCATCACAACGATATTTGAAACACACAGCTTCCCTTAATATTGACTAAGGGGGTTGTCGTTCACAACCCGCCCAGGAAACAACCGTTGAAGAACCGATATGCGAGTTACTTACACACTTCTCTTTTGGAAAGAAAAAACAAATCACTTCTCTTGCTTATTTTTTATCCATACGTTTGTTTTGATTTTTTTCCTTTATTTTTGCTTTAAGGTGTTTTTTTTTTTTCCTGTTTTTTTTCTTTTTTTTTTTTCCCCCGGTTTTTGGTTCATTTCGGGATTGTTTTTACACAGTTTAAAAACTCAAAATAAAAAAAAAAAAAAAAAAAGAAAGAAAAGAGGATGCCACAACCCCGCCGGTGACCCGGCCCGGCCAGGCCGCTCCCTGCGAGCAGCCTCCGACCCAGCTCTCCCACCCCGGCTCCACTCTCCCATCCTTAACCCTCTCTCCGACCCCCCCCGTCTCACCCCCTTCCCCTGCTTCACCAGATACCTTTTAGTTGATAAACGCGCATACAACACTGGGGGATTTTATATATTAAAAAACAAAAACAAAACCGAAACAAAATAAAGGGGAAGAAAAAGACAAAATAAAGGGGGGGGGGGGGGGGGTGTTAAAAAACCCCCAACGAAACAAAACCCAAACACTCGCGGGGTGGAGGATGTGGTTTCTTTCAAACAAAGTGCACTGCGAGACTGATTTGAAATGAGCTCCCGAAGGCGGTGGTGGTGGAAGGGGGGGTTACGGGGAGCCGCTGCGGGATCTGTCCTGCTTGGGGTCGAGCCCGCTGACCAAGCGCTGGATGTTCTGCAGTTCGCTGGTGGCCGCCTCCTTGTCGGCGCCCAGTTTCGGGGAGAGGGACACGGAGCCGGAGGAGAGGGTGGACGAGCGGCTGGTGAGGTCTGAGGCGGAGTCCAGGGGCACGGAGCCGGGGCTGGCTGCCAGCCCAGCCGCTTTACCCTCGCCGGAGCCGGCGGCCAGGCCGGGCAGGGCGGTGGTGAGGAGGCTGCTGCCGTCGGGCAGGGGCACAGGCAGCGGGTAGGGGCTGTAGCGGAGCCGCGGCCGCACGGCGCTGAGGAAGGGGTGCCGGTGCACCGAGCTGGAGGCGGCGCTGGAGGCGGCGGCCGCCGCTGCCATGTAGGTGTAGGGGTAGGGGAAGAGGCTTCCGAAGGGAGACATGGCCAGGCCCTGCGGGACGGGGGAGGAGAGAGAAGGGAAAGGGTTACGAGCCTGCACTTCTCCCCCCCTTCGGGGGATGCTCCACGGCACCCCACGCCGGCATCCCCGCCACACACACGCCACTGGGAGAGCTGAGAGCGGCCAAGCTGCTGCCCACGGGAGGGGATGCAGACCCACCCCCCCCCAGTGTCGAGGCCAAAACCATCCGGACCCCCGAGGCAGACCCTGCCCTGCACGGGGAGGTCGTGGCCCAATAGGGGCAAAATGAGACAAGGGACATGCTGTCTCCCCTCATCTTCTCTGCAGGGAGATTTTCTTTCACTGGGTGAAACGCTCCCAGGTACAACCATACACACCCCACCCTTCCCCCCGATGGGGTGGCCTCACTCCATAGAGCTGCTTGCTGGGCCAGGGGGGCTGCCAAGACAAGGGGGTGAGGGTAAAATGCTTGGCCCCGGTGCAGTGTCACAGGAGCTAGAGGACAACGGGGGTAGGGTGTGAACGGAAGAGCTCCGGGGGTTCACATTAGTGCCCTGCTGCCCCCCTTCCCCCGGGACCGAGCCCCCTTGCTCCGGGGTGGGGGTGCGGTACCTGAGAAGCCAGGACATGCTGCTGCAGATGGAAAGGCAAAGCAGCCGCCGATGCTCCCGAGAGTCCCTGGGCCGCTGCAGTGGCCATGACCGTGTTGTCCAGTCCCGAGACACCAGCGGATGCCCCGGAGACGGTAGCAAGCAGGGGGCCCATCCCGGCGGCCATGCCGGAGAAAGCCCCCCCCATGGCGAACTGCCCCGGGTGCAGCAGCAGCGGATGCCCGTTCCCCAGCGGGTTGAAGAACTGCTGGCCGGCCAGGGCAGGGGGAAAGCCGAGGTTTTGCAAGTGTCCCTGGCTCAGGTGGGCCGTGCTGTCGGTCTGGACAGTGAGGGGGGCAAAGGGTTCTTTGCCCAGCAGCCGGTTCTCATCTACTTTGGGACCATCCCTGAGGGGGCTTTTCAGTTCCTCGCTGCTCAGGCTTCCCCCCCGGGTGCTGGAAGAGATTGTAGCCGGGCTGTGCCGGGAGTCCGGAGGGGCTTTCTCCGTCCTCTCTCGGCTCCGACTCCCCGCTGAGTCACTGTGGAAGAAGTGGCTTTTAGAGGGGCTGCCCCCCTTCTCCCGGGGGTCGTCTCCCGCAGCCGCGGCGGAGCTGGCGGGCGCTGGGGTGGTGGCTGTGGTCGTGCTGATTTTGCTCGTCTCGTTGGCTTCTAGCAAGGGATCGTCTTTGCTGTCTGCATCGCTGTCTCCCTCGCTGGGACAGAGATCTGCAAGACAAAGGAAGCCCGGGGCTGGGATCCGGAGCTGCACGTCCCTAAATCCCCGTCGGGCTGGGGAGGGGGGCAGAGAGACTTCCTGGCCGGCCAGAGATTTAGGTGTAAATACTTCCTTTTACTATGATTATTCTATGTATAAATAAATACACCCCCTACTCCTACCCTTCACCCTATCCAAGCCAAGCCCGAGTTTTACCCAGCGCAGCAAAACTGGCTGCAAAACAAAGCAGCGGCCCTAAGGAGGCCCTCCTCCAGGAGGCTGAGGGTTTTAGGGGGGGGGATGGCTGCCTGGGGTATCAGCACCCCCTCAGCCCGGGAGCCTCCTGGTTGCTGAAGAAGCAGTGAAGCGGTAGGGTCGGCTCCGTTCCCCCAGCAGGGCTGGAGGGCCTCGGGGATGCCTCTTCCAAGAACTTTTCCGAAGTTTTCAGCCTTTGTAACACTCAAACATTGACCACGGGCGCGCACACACGCACAGAACAGCCTCCATCACCCCCTTCCTCCTCCTCCTCCTCCCTAAACGCGTGCATGGCTTCGCTGGATTCCTCTGCACTTCATCTCCCAGTTTCAGCGCCCCAGGTGCGAAGCTCTGGTTTGCTTTTCGGGTCCCCTCCCAGCTCCCCTCCCCTTCTCTCGGCAGGACTTTAAACAAACGAGTAAAGCAACAACAAAAAAGAGGTTGTTTCCTCCTCCCCCTGCTTCCCCCCCCCAAACCCCTGGATGGATTAATACATGGGAGAGAGCTGCAGACAGCTCCCAACCCAGCACGGGAGGAATCGAGGGTGACTTTTCTATAACAAAGTTCGGGACTGTATCCAGGGGAAAGATCCTTCCTCTAATAACAGATTCAGAGAGGAATATTAATGGAGTGACTCCAGTTTTGAACTTTTGCCCCGTGGTCTGTCTTTGCTCCCTTGACTTGGAGCTGGCTCCTTTCTGAACCAAGGAGGGGAGGAATGAACGTGCAGCAGTGGGAGAGGGAGGCCGGGGGAGAGGGAGAAGGTGAGAAACAGTGGGGAGAGAGAATGAGAGAGGAAAAGAGGGGTAAAGGGAAAGACAGAAGGAAAAGAAGGAAAGAAGGAGGAGGAAAGAAGGAAAGAAGGAGGAGGAAAGAAGAAAAGAAGGAAAGAAGGAGAAAAGAAGGAAAGAAGGAGAAAAGAAAGGAGGAAAGAAGGAAAGAAGAAAAGGAGGAAAGAAGAAGGAGGAAAGGAGAAAAGAAGAAGGAAACAGCAAGAAGGACAGAGAGGGGAAAAGAAAAGGGGCCAAAAAGAGAAATAAGCTAGAAGAAAGAGAACACAATAAAAAGAGAAAACAGAAAAGAAAAAGGAAAGGAATGAAGGACCGTGGGTGCTGGAGGGCAGCGGTACAGGCTGGGATCTGTCCCCTGCACACAGAGCCAGGGCCCAGGCTCTCCTCGGGAGGGACCTGGGGGCCACAGCTCTCACCTTTGAGGCTGGAGGTGCCGACAGCAGGTACGGCGGGGCAGGAGGACTGAGCGAAGCACTTGAAGGCCGTCTGCTCGTTGGAGGACTCATCCGAGGTGGGGTTTTCCTTCTTCTGCCTCTCGTCGTACACCCGCATGGATTGCAGGGTCAGCTGCTTCCTGTGGGCACAATGCACCCGCTGGGAGAGCAGACCCCGGGACCCCCCCAGGAGCCCCATCCCTTCCCCAATCCTCTCGAGTTCCTATTTGGGGATGACTAGGGGAATGAAGGGCCAAGGTCCCCTCGAGGGGGGAATGCCTTGGCTGCTAATGAGAGGAGATTTCTTGGAAGCAGTGAGCAGCTCCTCAGCAAAGGCAGATATTAAAGACAAGAGGCGGAGGGGAGAGGGAAGCATTCCCTGGAGATTAGCTTTTAAAAGGCGAGGATGTTCCAGAGATATGAGCCATCTTAATGGTTGCTAAGATTGCTAGGAAGTGGTTATTTTGTTAGGCACTTTATGTAATCTTTTCACCAACAATTAACCCAGAGTAAAAATCTATTTATATTTAGAGAGAAATTAGAAATCATTTCCGTCCTGTGGCTCCAGCGTTGGCTCTATTTTCACACTGGCGGACACAAGGAGCTGGCATGTGTGTATGTGTGTGTGTGTGTGTGTATGTGCACCGGGCTCAGGGCTAGGTAAAGAGAAAGGCCTCTTGTTTTACATTACATTTCCAAGCCCCCCCCTTTTTTGGGGGGGGGGGAAAGCGGGATGGGTGGTTGTTAAAAAAGAGGAATCAACAGATTTATTCATTATCTAAACTTGAGTGCAAATGGCTAAAATAAAAACAAAATAAAGACATATCCCCCATCAAAGAAAACAAAAATCATCCCTTTCCCTATTTTTTCCATGATTAAAAATGGAATTCTGGAGTCCATTAAAACAAGTCCTGTTCATCTGTCTACCTGAGGCACAAACTGCATCCTGCTGCTTTCAGTAAAAGGCAGAGATTCTTTCATCATCAATTACTTCCATATTCACCAGATACCTCTGTCACAACAGTTTATTTACATGTTTCTCCTCCATATATTAGTCTTTTCAATACAGTCCCCGGGAAAACACCAGAGATGGAGCCCACGATCAGCTCTGCCCTCACTTCTCCCTCTTTCCCAGTCCCTCATACTATAATGTAATATTCCCTCTCAAAAAATTAAGGAAAACTTATTTCTCCCGTGATATCTGCTTAATAAACCACCAGCCCTTTGGCAAGCCATTCCCTGCGCCATGAAAACAAAAAAAAAACCCATGGAAAGCAGGAAAGAATTCCCATGCAATCAGCTTGGCATGATTAACGCCAAGATCCTTATGAATTTTGGCGGGGGGACTTGTGGTTTGGAGGCAAGGCGAGGTGATTTTGACCTCTGCTCGAGTTCTGAGCTTTACCCACAAAACCCCAAAGAGGCGCCTCTATATAATCTATCCAGACTCACCTTTTTTCCCTCCTTCCATTGCCGGTGTCCCGAAAACCTTTGGCAAAGGGATTGTTGTCAATTTTTAACTGAGTGATCTATAGGATGAAGAGAAATAAAAACAAATAGGTAGGGGGTTGGGACAGAAATAAGGAGATTTTGTGTTAAAAACCAGCAGCAAAGAGACCTCTCTCCCCAGTTTCCCCAGTGCCTGCAGGATCCCGGCAAGAGCAGGATGGGAAGGGGTAGAGACCCCTGTTTTTTCGTGTGAATGTCTCTTTTCCCCAGCCAGTTTGGACGCAGCTCATCCCCAACCCCCTGTCAGGGCTGGCCAGTGACCCCGGGCTGCGGTGGCAATGAAAGAGCCCCGTGTTGCTGCCACCGCATCGGAATTAATTGAGCTGTGCAATGCGATCCATGCAAGTTATGCCTGTGCTTAAAACTCTTTAAATGCCATAATTAAACCGCAAAGGATTCATGCCCACCCCATCCCCCTTGCTATAATAAAATACTTTATATAATCGCATTATGCTCCGCGTGTGTGTTGGGGCACTGGGGGTGCCAGGAGCCAGTTGATTTTTGGGGGCAGGGGGTTGGTAGTACATAAGTTTTCCGGTGGATGCTTGGGGTTTTCCTCGGGATTCAGGGAACGACTGTCTCTTCATGAGTTTGGAGGGACTGGGGGGGTGCAGGACACCCCGTACCCCTGCATACAATGAGCGGAAGCTGATTCAAAGCCCAGCCGGGGCTCCCGTGGTTATAATGGGATAAGGACAACGGGAGTCGGGATGCCCCACTCCCGGTTCCAGACCAGGCTGAAAGTGCCGCAATCCCCCCCAATCTGAGGGCAGAGCAGGACACATAAAAGCAAATCCCTGTCTGCAGCTGAGCACTGGGCAGGACCGGCACCGGCCACCGCGTTACTACCACCTCCCCCCCCTCCTCGCTTCCACCCGGGATCAGCAAAGAGCAGGAAAACCCACTGCTAAAACTCAGCAGGAGTTTTAATGCAGGTGATCCCGGCCGTGCCTTCTGACCGGCCGGCGATGGCTCCCGCCACTCCCGCACGCCGCTTTCCAGGCGATTTCATGGCAATCAGACAACTATGCTCATTTCGGTCCTTCAACCAAGCCGGCCCCAGCTGACAGAGCGGGGCGAACAGCCCTGCTGATAAGTCCCAAAGCAAAGTCTACTCTCTGTACACACATTTTCTTTCCATTTCCTTGCAAGCGCCCGACCGCAGAAATAGAGGAAAATAACCCGAGCCCCCGAGGGAGAAGCAGCTTTTGGGAAACGAACGGTAGAAGGGATGGAGTCGCCCCTTTTCACTCCTTAATACTGAAGGATGTGAAGGGGCAGAGAGAGGGACGGGAAGCTGCAGCGAGTGGGCGCTGCACATCCAGACCCTCCGCGCTTAATGCACACGCATGCAAAGTTATAATTTATAGAGAGGAGGAAAAAAAAATCAAAGCCCCTTTTCTGGCTCTTTCCCTTCCTTCCACTTGACTTAATTATCATAAATTCACCATTTGCCACTCTCCCAGATATACCACCTTGGTCGCAAGCGACAATAAACCAGCAGAAACGGGAAGGCAGCGGCCGCAGCGCTGCAAAACTTTCTCACACTGGCTCTTTCAGACCTCGCAGCTAAATTCGAGCGAGATAGCCCTCTCTGATCAGAGCATATTTCTGCACCACAAAAAATAATAAAACACTGCAGGATGCAAGAAAAAAAATCATAATATAATAATAATAGGAACCAGACGTGCGCTCCAGCCTTATTGCCAATTGCTGTTAAAGGAGCTAAAACAGCACAAAGGCCAGGAAGAATTACAAAATCTCCAGCCCCGCTGCTCTCCCCCTCTGTCTTTCGACACACGGAGCTGATTCTCCCCCCCCCCCCCTTTTTTTTCCTTTTCTGAAGCATCTTAGATCAAATTCACACCGAGAGCAGCGATCGCGATCCCCTACACCATCCTACCTCTTTCCACATACGGGGGAGCGGTACCGGTGAAATAAAAAGGTTAAGAACCCTAAACAGCCTCCCCAACCCCCCAGACCTCCCTTTTAATTGCCTTTCCCGAGGTCAGAACTAGGAGGGTGCCCTATCCCCTCCCCCGGCGCCTTCCCGAAGTTAGATCCAGGAGATTTAGGGGGAAAAGATGAGGAGAGGACGGGGGGGGGAGAAGGGAGAAGAGCGGGATGGGCTTCGTGATTTTTAAGGGAGCAATGCAGAATAAAAGTTCTCTTAAAAGCCAAAACACGTAAAACAAATCCATTCTTAATCTCCTTACCTTATCATTCTGGTATGCGGTCACTGCGATGAATTCAGTCTCCGGGAAAACGTAGGTCCTGAACGTGCTATAGGGAAGCTTGAGAATATCGTTGGCTCGGACGATGTGGAACCGGGGCTGGTACTTGTGCATCGAGTTTAAAATGGTCTGAGGGTGGGGGAGCAGCGCCAGGCAGCAGAGAGCAGAGAAGGTGGCGGGGGGGGGGGGGGGAAGAAGACGGTCATCAGGAGCAAGCACCCCCGCCTCGCACTTCCCCCCCAGCCACCGGCACTTTCTCCTCCTAATTTGCCTTCCCTCTCCTTCCTCCACTCACTCCTCCTCCCCGCCGAGCACACTCCAAACACACGCACACGCCTTGCAGCAGCCAACAAAAAGCACTGACAGCTCCAGCTCGCCGGGGTTAGGCTCATCCGCTGGCCCTTTCGGAGGGGGAAAAGGGAGGGAAAAATCCCAGCATAGCTCTCCTAGGAGAGGGGGAGAAAACTGCCTCGGCTCGGGCCACAAAGTGCTTTTGATTTCGAAGTGAAAGAAACGAAAAACGAAATAAAAATCAAACCCAAGTGAAAAAGCAGCAGCAGCTACAACAGCAACACGACCACGAGAGCCTTGGCTTGGTCTAATTGCTCGCCCCAATCCACTTAAGGCCTTCTGCGAAAGGCAAAAATGTATCGTCTAATCAAATCACAGCCAGTAAATGCAATCTTCGGCACATTAGAGATCCCCCGACCGCGGTCACCACCAGCAACCCCCGACTCCGAGGCGGAGGCTTGCCCAGGAACAGAAAGAAATGGCAAGGATCGTCAGAGCACTTATCAGCAGGTTTGTTTGATTTCACTCTCAGGGTAAGTTTTTATCTCTGCACACCCGGTAAATGTAAAGGAGTGGATAGACATGAATGGGCAACTTGACCTCTGATTTTGGTCCCTGTTTATTTTCACTCCGGCTTGCTTTACATTACCCAGATTAATATATATTTAAATGTTTGCATACTTAGGCCTTTAAGCCCTTTATACACACACACATATCATTTTCCTATGCTTAAAAAGCGTGATCGACTTTATTAAATAAAATAAAATAGATATAGAAAGTCACCACAGCTCTAACAAATACCCAGTTGCACTGTGCTGGGAATATACCTCTCTAAAGTTAATGCTGAATGGCACAGAGAGGATACAGGATAAACTCGACCGTTTCACCCTGACATTAGGAGCACTAAAAATCAGGGAATGCTGTAAACCAGGCCGAAGCGCGTTATTCCCCGTTTCCCTGCCACGGGAGCTGAGGGCCCAGCTCTGGCTGGAGCAGGGGGTCCGGAGGTAAAGGAGGAGGCAAAGCAAAGGGGAAAAGGCACTTACAAATCCGTGCTTGTCAGAGATGTTGTTAGTGAGCTTCAGCTTGTGAAAGGTGACGACTTTGGACATCCATTGTTCGCCGGTGGCCGGGCTGTCCGGGTGGATGTACATTCTCTTTGGCATTTCAGGGTCAGCTTTCCCGGCTACCATCCACCGGGAATTATGGAATTTGTACCTACAATCATCCGCCGCCACAATATCCATCAATAAAATGTACTTGGCCTTTTTATCCAGTCCAGTGCATCTCACTTTAAATGGAGGAAACATTCTCCTATGGGCAGAGAGGGAAGGGGTTGGGGGGGGTGTAAAGAAAAGACAAGACGAAAATAAAACATAGTTAATTACAGCGTTTAAAGAAGCTCCTGATTCTCAGTAGCTCTTCTATCAAGCAATGGCTTCAGCTCGAAGGAGCAAAAAGCCTCCCCCCCTCCTCCGCCCAAAGCGAAACGGTTGCTCAAACGCCTCAAAGTTTCAGGAGAAAATGGTCCCTGGGATCGAAGCAGAGAGGAAGAGGTCCGTGTTCCTTAGGAATCTGCAGGCGCCTTCCCTCTGCCACTCCTGAGCCCGCAGAGCCTCAGCTGGGGCTCTCGGCTCTGCCTTTATTTTCCTGCTAAACAAAGAAATGCGAACAGCTCGCACCTATTCCGCATGATTCTGACCCAATCCACCGGTAGGGAAGCGGAGAGGGGATGTTTTCACTTTACAGAAGAGGAGGAAAAATAAAGCAGCCCCTTCGGTTGAGGCGGACAGGGCAGCTGCGGGGCTCCCCGCCGCCGGGGACAGTCCATGGTGTGCGGGGGGCTCCCCGCATCCCGCACCGCACTACCCGGCCGGGCTCCGAGGTGCAACAGGATACCACAAATTTGCTGTTTATTATATCGAGCGGTTGGCATTCAGCGATCTCAACTTAAAAGGAAACACATGACTTTGGAACACGTAAGAGCGTTTAACACCGGCCGAGGCTTTCGCGCAAAAACTTCTGGACCACAATTAACACAGGAAAACTTCGGGAAAGCAGTAAAAGGGGCGAGGGGGGTTTTAGTCTTCCCCTCCTTGCTGCTCTTAGTTTGGTTTTTCTTTCCCCTGAGCCTGCAATTGGTGCCCTGCAAGGAGGTGAAACTCCAGCAAGGCAGCAGAAGGCCATCTAAGAAGACTTTTCAGGAGTGGCTTCCTCGAGTCATTTTCCTGGCAAATTACACGCGAATTGTTTAGGAGGTTTCTAATAAAGTCCCTTAGAAAAACACCCGGGTGCAAAGGGGGTTTTCCCCCCTCTGTGTCATCCCTGCGATAGGTAGAGTTGTAAAAGAGAGCAGATGTCAACAGAAAAAGGGATTTCAGGTGGGTAAAGCTCTAAAAGGCAGAAGCGAGGAGCATGGACGAGCCGGGTGGATTCATTCATTCCCGGGAGAAGGTTTCACGACCGTAGGGACGAGAGCTACGGGGCCGGGACCGCTGCGTGCCTTTGGCAGCTTTTTGTGCTTTTCCAGCTAGAATTAGTCAGCACAAATGCACGCCTAGATCCCAGCAGAGAGAGGCATAAGGGAAGCGACAGATAAGCCGAACCTATCTGCCCTCCTGCAGCTCCTGCCTCTCCAGCAGCGAGCTGCCGCTCCAAAGTATTTTTCCTTCATTCCCCCTTCTTTTTCCTGAAGGAAGAAAACCTACGTGCAGCAGGGCTGAAATCAGGCCGGCTCCTTTTCCAAACCCAAGTGATTTTCTTTCTGCTCCCAGTTTTCCCCAAGTAGCATTAAGCTACTGAAGCACGAAGGGTCCCTCTCGCTGAGCAGGGCCGGTTCGTGGCGGAGCCTTTCCCCGCAGTGTTGCTGCCCGAGCTGGGCTCGGATTTTTGGCTGCCTAAAACTTCACGTAATTCCAGGTGAAAGGAGTTTTATGGAGAAAGCCGCCGGTGAAAGAGCCTTGCTCTGGAGCAGCTTGGTGGGGTGCTCAGGGACTGAGGGGTGAGGGAGAGGGGTGGAAACAGAAGAAAGACGCAAACCCCCGACCCAGACCTACCTTCCCGATTTGGTAATCACCATCTCCGTGCCTCTTTTATGGAATTGCTCCCAAAGTTCTTTGGCTTCCAGATGCACTTTCGGATCATCTTCCACCTCTTCTTCTGGCTCCAGAGTTTTTAAAGGCCTCAAATGGGCTGCTGCCTGGTGACCCAGGGAAGAAAAGGGGATACCAGTCTCTGCAGCCCCCACTAACTGATCCATGATGGGTTTAGCCAGAGCCCCGGGAAGGGAAAGAGCAGCCGCCCCGTTGGGAGGCAAAGCCAGAGCCGGGAAGAAGGGAGGCTGATGTCCCAACACAGCGCTCATGGCAAAGTCCGGTGCCCGGTGCGGTAAAAAAGGATGATAAGCCATGCTTGTCCCAGGGATTACTGGATCTCTCATCGGTATATTCATCCACTCCACTCCTCGGTCTTCCTACTGCTGGAGTAGTCCCGGAGTGGTTTCTAACAGCACATCATGAAGAAGAAAAATTAAGATAATAACAATAACAGCAAGAAAGCACCAAAAAAAAAAAAATACAGGGTGGGGGGAAACAAGCTCTAGACAGCACAGTACATGGGGGAGAGGCAGAACTTCTACAGCCTACCACTTCCCGAGCCGGGGCACATCCCCAGCCCTCGGGACAGCGGATTAACAGGATTGTTCATTATTAGTCCTGCTTTTTTTGTCTTCGGTCTCTGCGGTTTGCCTTTCTCTTTTTGTGTATGTGTGTCCTGAGTGGAAGTCCTTGCACTGGAAAAGAAACGCCGAAGAAGGGAAGGGGTGGGGGGGGAAGAAAAATCCACCGGGTTCGCTGTCTGCTCCTGTTGCCGCAGAAGGGCTGGACAAGCCGAGATCCCCCTTTTTTTTTCTTCTTCTTCTTCTTTCTGTGAGTCTCGATCCCCCGTCTCTTCTTTCGTGGCGGAGGGTGACGGCTCGAAGCTGGGTTTTCTTTTTGGGTGGCTGGCTCTTCCCCCCCCCTCCCCCCCACCCCTCCACCTTTCCTCCGTACGGTCAGGCTGCAGAGCAGAGGCTGGGAAGGGAGGGAAAGCAGAGAGAAGAAAACAAACCCACCCCCCCTTCGCCGGCCGAGGAAGGCTCCTGAGCAACCTTCAGCAGGAAAAACTTGTAGGGAAATCTCGGTTTTGCCTCGCCTTCCCCCCTCTCCAAGAAGGAGCTGGTCAGGGTGCCCTGATTTCCATCAGGATCTCTTCTTTCTTTCACCCTCACCCTCTTCCTTTTCCTTTTCCTTTATTTTTTTTCCCTTCTCTTTCTCTTTCACTCTACCTTAAAAATAAAAAAAATCTGGAATAATTATACTCCTGTCTCCTCTCCAGCACCACTCCAGCAAAGGAGAGAGGGAGAAAGAGAGGGAAAGAGAAAGGAAGGGGGGGGGGGGGGGGGGAAGAGAAAGAGAGGAAAAGAGAAAGAGAGGGAGAGAGGGAGAAGGAGCCTCTCAGCTCTGAGAATTCCCTGTGAGTCTGTGCTCTGCGTGCACCAGATTGTATGGATGTGTTGTGGGTTACAAGGGAGCTGGAGCCTCCTTGATTGGCTCTTTGACGCTTTCGGACCAATTGTGAGGCTCCATAGGCGTGGTTTTGACAGGTCGAGTGGAAGGGGGACAGAGCCGAGTTATAAAAAGAAGGTGTCGGAAACTGTAACGCTGCAGCAAAGCATCACTAGTACTCCGGGCCGTGTGAATATGTCAACATGATCAGAGGGGAGGGCGCAGGCAGCGCCGGGGAGGGCGGCCGGCAGCACCCGCCTCCTGGGGGGGGTTGGGGGGGGGGGCTCTTGGGGGCCGCCTCCCCCCCAGCCCCGGCTCCCCGCGATGGCCGGCCCGGGTATTTCCAGCGCTCTCTCCTCTGCCCGCCTGCCCCGGTAGGAGCTTCCCAAGCAGCGGCTGCTGGAAGCACTGGAGAAGCGGCGAGGGCACGCCGGGAGTTGGGATGGGAGGGGGGGGGCTCCATGCATGGTGGTGGGGGTCCGGCTTTGGGTGCCCCCCCCTCCTCCGCCGCACCGTACCCCAGCTCTGCCTCGGCCCGCAGAAAGAGGAGGACGCACGGTGCGCTCCCCCCGTGTCCCGGAGCTCCGGACCCACCTCGGCCGGCCGCAGGCCCCATAGCGCTGCACGCCCATCCCCGCCGCGTCGCGGCTGCCGCCGGTCCCCGCAGCCACCGGGGTTGGTGTTCGTCATCCCCCCCAACTCCCGTTGCGCCCCCCCCCTCCAACGGGAGAGTTGGTTTCTTTAAACGAGACAGGACCTCTAGGCCGGGGGCCCGGAGCTTTCCTTCCCCCCACAAATCTGGGGGTGAGCTCCGGGGGGGGGGGTTGGGAGCCGGCCCGGGGGATCGCTCCGCGGGTCCCGTCCCCCCCCCCGCCTCGGCTCGGGGCTCGGCTCCGGCTGCTCCGGCTGCCGCGGCCGCCGTTATTATTGTTGTGAGCGGCTGCAGGCTGCAGCTCGGAGAGCAGGGGCCGCAGCTCGGCTCAACCCCGGGCCTGGCTGCTGCAAATCCATAGGGAAGGTTGAGGGGGAACGGCTGGAAAACGGGATTTTATTTCTTTCTTTTTGTATTACGCCTTTTTCCCCCTTTTCTTTCTGTGGCGCTGACGATTAAGGCCACTCGGCTGGCACCGGCGCCGAGAGGGTTACGCTCCCACACCCCTCCTCTTCCATGAGGTGCGCGGGGAGGAGACGGGAAGTGCGGCTTTCCCTGCGCCCGGGCCGGGGCAGGGCCGGGGCAGCGGCGGGCGGGGGGGCCCATCCGTGGGTTGCCCCAGTGCCCGGACCCTCCTGGAGCCAGCCACCCCCCCTGGGAAGGCATCACGCGTGGGGCTGCGCCGGCCCCACGGAGAGGGAAGAAAGAGCCAGGCAGGATCCGCTTGGGAAGTTTATGGTGGTGGTGGTGGGGTGAGGACAGTGCAGAGGGGAATTGCGGCTGGGTGGGTGCAGTGGGTAGTGGGGGCAGTGGGCATGGTGGGCACGGGGTGCCCACGGGTGTCAGGAGGGATATCCCAGCGCTGGGAGGTGCCGAGTCATCTCCCCATCACCTCCCCCGCCTCTCTGGGGGTAGCTGTGGGATCTCCCGACACCCCCATCCTGCTTTAAAAAGGGAAGCTAATCCTCCGGGAGCGAAGCGGCGGAGCGCGGGGGCCCGGCGCTGGCTGCGCGCAGATGGGAGCGGAACCTCTAAAGTGATTAGCTCTTCTAACATTGCATTTTTGACGCACATGGTTAAGAGCGCTTGGCGCCAGCTTGGTGAAGTCCCTGTAGTATCCAGCGTCTAGGATCGCTTTGCATTCACCAAAATATCTCCCCTTTGGTCGAGGGTGGGGGTGGATGGAGAAAAGAGGAGGAGGGAGGAAAGGAAGCGGGAGTAATGCGTTCAAAGAGGATGGAAGGGGGGGGAATCTGATGTGTTTCTCGAAGCCAGCAGCTTGGCTACCCGCGCGGCGCTCGGCTGCGCTGTGCAGCTGGTTATCAACCAAGGCAGCGAGTCTCTCCAGCCTCTGCTCGGAACCGGTTCTCGGGCCCGGTAGGACCTCCCGAACCCTTATCCCTTCCCTGCACCAGCGCCCGCAATAAACGGCCGGCGGCTTTCATAAGTTTGCCTCAATTTGCCTCAACCGGGCCCCGGGGACCAGGAGGTTCCCGACCAGGACACTCGCAGCCGCTCCCAGCCCCGCCGCTCCCTTACCCCCGCGCCCGCCCCGCCGGTGCGCTCCCTCGGCGGCGCGGCAGAGGCCGGAGCCGCTTGCAGCCCTCCGCTCCTGTTCCGCGCACCTTGCGCCGCGCTCCGCACCCACCCGCGGAGGAAAATAAAGTGTTTTGCCGCTTATGATTTCCAATTTCAGCGTCTGGCTAATGGCGTGCAAACTTCCGCCAGTTCCGAGTGACCTCCCCGACGAAGCCCCCTGGAGACTCGTATTATGAAGGGAGGCTGCACTAATCTAAGATCAAAAGCGGGAAGGTGCGAACAGTCTTTGTCTCCCTTCGGCCGCCTCATTCCCCCTTCTGTGTGTGATAAATCTACCCTGGCGCCGACTGCGCGCTGGATGATTAATTTGCAAGCAAACAAAAGGGACCTGATGGCCAGCCATCTTAGTTAAATATTGGCCAGTGCTTCCAGCTACTTGTTAGCCGCCTCTTTGCCAGAAATAAAGACGCGAGGCAGAGAAATAAATAAATAAGGAGGCCCGCAGAAATAGATGGCGAAGAGAAGTGGAAAGAGGGGATAAAGGAAAAACAGAGAAAAACAAATGAAAATAAGAAAGAAGAGGTCAGTGCTGCCGAGGCCAAAGGGCCGGGAGCGGGGCGGAGGTGGGAATGGGGCTGGTCGCAGAGGAGGCAGGGTGATAGCACGCTGAGATAGCCGACTGCCCCGCGCCTCCCGGGCCGTCTGCAGGCTGGGCTTGCACCAAGGCCGACGCTATCTTGGCTCTTCAAAGAGGCATGAAAGGTCTCCGCTGTCTCCCCGGAGAGCGGCCAGGCCGGGGCTCTCTAATCTCCGAGCACAAGAGCTAAAGGCGGGGAGAGGGGAGGCTCCCACCTTCCCCAGCTCCCCTGTCGCCAGCACCTCGCTGGGTTTTCCCTGGTTCAATCCAGGCCGGAGGGAATGCGGAGTTGGCCAGACCATGGGCCTTTGGTGGTGGAGCGGCTGGGAGAGCCCCGCTTGCTCAGATTTCACCCTCCTAAGCAACTTTTAGCGTTTACACGAGAGCTCGGGGCGTGCAGCTAGCCTGCCCCGTGTGTGTGTGTTGGAGGTGTGGGAGGAGAGAGGCTCTGGCTCTCTCCCGGTGGCCTGAAGAGCCAGCTGGAGGAAAAGGAGGCAAGAGGAAAATAAAGGCAGCCCAGCTTTCGGGGCCCACACGTCCTCTCCCAGGCCTGCGGGAGCAGCTCCGAGGCGTGTGTGCATGCGTGGATGGGCTGTGAAAGCGCTCCACGGCCTCTGTGTGTGTGTACGTGGAGATGTTTGTGTGCGGGGTGTACGACCGGGGAGGGGGATTTGTGCCCTGGGGAACACCACAAATCCCTGTTCCGACAGCAAACCCCGAGGTGTCCCTTGCACCCACTGCGTGTGCTGGGTGCCCTACTAAAGAGAAGCTCTGGTGCGTGGTGAGCAGGGCCAACACGCACAACGTAAATGGGGTTTTGCATCCTACTCCTGCATTTCCTTATCACGCTGTCTGTCCCCAGCAACCCCAGGGGCCCAGACCCATCCTTCCTGCCAGCCGCCCCGTACCCTGCAGGATTCATCCTTCTCCCCTCCCTCCCTTTCCCCCGGCGACGCAGCCTCTGCTCCGGCTCCAGCCCTTCGGAAGGCAACACCCCACCGTGGCTGCGCTGTGTTTATGCGAAGTGAAAGGCAGCGGGCTGGTTTACTTTGGCAGGTTTGCAGTAAATACCGGCTGGAGCACGGGGGGCATCTGGCGAGTGGCGATTACACACTTCTGCCGGGGAAAACTTCCCAGCCCTGAGCAGGCCCTTCCCCAACCCAGCAAAAGGTGTCAGTAAATGCGGGCCGTGTTGACGCAGCTCCATCCCAGAGTGGCACTGCAGGCCACAAATGTAATGAAGCAGGTCCCTTAGGGAGCGAGTCTATATACTTGGACTGTATAAACTGTTATGGACAGTGGGGGGGCTCACTACTGCAGTTCTTTGCCTTTCCTTTGGCAGAGCTCTTCTTCCAACTAGCAGTTGAATCTCACAGAAAGTGTGGCCTGAAAACTGCAAAATAACCTGCCTGAGTCCAAAAAAGCATTAGAAATAGCAAGAACAAGGAACCCCACATCTCTCTCTGAGCAGGCTGGGCCCCATCGTGTCCAACCACAATCAAAGGGGCTGTTCCCATCTCTTCGAACAGAAGTAGGGGGGAACAGGGAGGGTCAGGTCCTCTTCCCAATGCAGCTGAGCTCAGGGCTCTGCAGGACCAGGGGGAGCCCAGGACATGCCTTGCACATGCCCTGTTGGAGCATCGGTGGAAAAAGACAGGAAGGCACCCTCTGAAGAGGTTTCTCACCCTCTGGCCCTCACTGGGATATGATGATAGCTGCTCATGTATCCAGCATGGCCCAGCTCAGAGCACAGCAGCACTGGCCATGGCAGAGCTGCCCTGGGGTCAGGCAGCACTGTCCACTCCAGGCCAGGGTCACTTCAGCCCTTGGATCCTTGCTCCTCCTGAGCCATCCTGGCCTGGCCCAGCTCCCAGTGGGAGCCCACACATCAGGGCTCCAAGATTAAGATTATGATTTTTAGCCCCCTTCAACAAACATCACTCAGGCTTGGATCACTGCCCCTGCCCTGGTTGCCCCCCTCCTCACAAGACCTGTGATCGATCACCTCGCCCCTGTCCCCAGCCAGCTCTGATGCTCTTCAGTTGCTTCTACCAATAGGGAAAGAAAATAAAGGAGCACCTAGAGTCAATTCCTGCAGCTTCTCCTTCACCTCCCAGTCAGGCCCTGCGTCACTGGCCCAAGCACTTCAGGGCACAGCGAGATCTGGGGCTGGTCTTCTCTCTGCGGTTTGCCTCTCTTTTACCCTTTTCGAGCTGGTTTTGCACTATTCTGCTTTTCCTTGCCACAAAGAATCACCTGCAGCCCCAACAGCCCTTTCCACCCCCCCTGCAGTCTTCTTGCTCTCACCAGTGTGTGGCTGGCAGAGGTGAAATGAAAGCTCCCTCCCTCGCCCTCTTTACACCCATTTTTATGCTTCCACCAGTTTTGGCCGAGCAGAAATTGTACATGGAGTTCACTATTTGGATAAGAGTTTCTCTTTTTAATAGCCAGGCATATACATACACTTTGCTGCTCAGGGAGCAGCACTAATTGTCGTTTCCTACAGTCAAACAGATCTATCTTTTCAATGCTGTCTTTGTGTGCCTGCATAAGAGGGAGAAAGAGGGAAGGAGTGGGTACACTTATTCAGTCGTTTAAACACACGCACACCACGCCACCAGGACCGAGGAGGGACGGGTCCTCCCGCAGCAGCCCCCCGGGATGCGACATTGGCCCCCCCCCTTCTCCCCCCAGACCCCGTCGAACAAGGCACCGGAGAGCACCCGGGGAAGAACCCGATTTTATCTGCTTTGCCCATCGACCGTGTTTTTAAACAGC